TAAGAGAGATGTAAACATGTATATTTGTACTCGGAAAATGAATAAAAATGAATAGCAGAGACAAGGAAAAATAAGGCACATATGCATAAATAAATCGAGTAGACTACACGAAAGGATATAGGCGTCTGACCCTTCGGAATCATATAACTCGGATCAAACTCCAAATCACACAACCTCGACTCCCTAATCCGTTTCTTCATATTCTTCATTATCTTGAAAGTTTCGCATACCGGATTCCAAACAAGGGGAACATCGAACGTCGGAGCCCTCAAATAGAAAAATAAAGTACTCCATTTTCCCCAATTCAATTTAATCGCCTTCAAAAATTTGTAAGGAACTCGAGGATGTGTGCAGAAGAAGGGTAAACTACTTGCACGATGTAGTGTAAACAACGCCTTGAACATCTCGATACTAATCGGTAATCCTACTTGTCTCATTCTTTGTCGAAACGCCTCAAACGTGAGAATCACATTCGGAGTTAATTGACTATACCCTACCCCGAATTCCTCGCATATCTCAAAAGGCTCATGTCGGGCACAACTGCGAAGTACATGTCAAATAAGCGACATATTGTGTATGGAACCCGTCAGGGGGTGCATACAATCGTTCGCCTTTTTTAGGCAAGCGCATCTCAATATTCCTCGGAGCCTCAACTAGCTGACGAAGAACCCGGAATTGCAATTCGGTCAACGAAGTATCAAAATCCACCAAGTCAAGATTAATTGGTTTTATTTTCTTCCCTCTATTTTTGTCTATAATGACATCTTCACGTGGAATGTCATCCTCACCTCAAACATCTCCATTCGGATTTACATCACTCTCGGATCCCACAAACGGCGCCAAAATGATGATGTTAATAATAAATCACCTGATTAATTTTATAATCCTGCGAACAAAAAACACGTAATCTAAGCCGGGGTTGATCCGGCGGAAACCCCTCCGACGCTCAAGTCAGACGTGCGAATAGTCGGTAATTGTAGAGAGAATTCGAATAGAAGAATTGATAGAATAATAAAAGCGTAGCTTAATTAAATGAATTTAAGTTCTATTTATACTACATTAATTGGGCCGAGACCAATTTATCGGACTCAAACCTTATTTGAAGGTGATTGGACCTCCGGAGTGATAATTTTAAAGGGCCTCGTGGCCCAATAAATATGGGTCTATTGGGCCGGGCCAATAGATATATCATTTGGCCCTTTGTCTCTCACTTCATCGGTATTCGTCAAAACCGATTTTTTTTTTTTGAACAGTCCAAAGTAAACACACCTATATTTTGAAACAAATAAATTTTTGCAATAAATATTATCTCCTAATTCCCTTATGGTCGAAAATTCCAAGTCTCAAACCAATTTGGGGAAATCAGAATCCAAAATTTCCCAATTCAGGTGCCCTAGCTTTGAAAACCCTAAATCCAATTTCCCTAATTCTTGAAAACCCTAATCCCGAAATTAAAGCCACAGAACTCCCAATCGGCTATCCCTAATTCCTAAATTGAAAACTCTAATCCCCGAAATACAAAACCGTAATTCTGGAATATCTTCCCTCACCATAACTTTATGAATAAATTAATGTTTGATTTAAAGTTGAAGAGTTCATTTGAATTGAATTAGTCAAACCCGCGTGGCGTGATTTAATTTAGCTTACACATGAAGATTTTTATTTTATTTTTTGTAAAGCGAATTGGGAAAATTACAGTTTTCAGTCCCCCAGATTTGCACCGATTTCACATTTGGTCTCTCATCTTCACAAAAAACACATTTGATTCCTCATGTTTCAAACATTCAGCATTTTTTGTCATTTCCATCAATTTTCCCTTAAAACTAACGAAATCAAGTGTGTGCCCATCACCTACTTAACTGACGAACTAATTGTAAATTGACGCAAATGGCCAAAAATGTTAAATTATTGAAACATGAAGGACCAAATATGTATTTTGTGAACATGAATTACCAAATATGAAATGGGTGCAGACTTGAGGGATGAAAACTGTAATTATTCCAAAATGAATTACATCAACTTGTAGTTTGTGAAATAAGTTATATATTTTATTCCAAAACCTTAATTATTATTTTGCAGAAATAAGTTTTTTTAAGCATTATTATTCTAATTTCTAGGCATAGTGCACAACAAGTCAGGGAGATCATGGCTTAATTAGTCGTTGGCATGTATTGGAAGTATTGGTCCGATCGGATGCCATTATTTTAGTACAACATAAGATTGAACCTGTCTTGTGTGTATGAAAATTTGCAATTGACTTTATGCCAAGGAGCAACACTTGACTTTTGTATTTTAATCATGGTTAACGAAAAAGAAAAAGTATAGCAATGGAATTATTTTTTTTTTTTTTTTTTTTTTTTTTTTTTTTTTTTTGGGCCAAAAAGGATTTTATTATTCCATTATTAGAACAAATGGGGCCTCGTTAAAACCTTGTGGGCCTACACAAGAAAAAAGAGTACCCCTACAATGGCAATAAAAAATCGGAAGAACCACTTGATGGTTTATGGCAACCTTTACGAAAATTACGATAACCTAATCTATCCATTAATATTAACCGCTTAATTGAGGAAGGGAGTTCACTAATAGATCTATATCTGATCTTCATACGATGCCCATGCGCCAATTTGGCTAAACTATCTGCCGGGTAGTTGCCTTCCCTGAGCGTATGAACCACTCGTCGATTCGCCGAAAGGTGCCGTCGTATACCCTGAACAACATAGTTTAAATCCCACGCAACAACTGATCTTTGGTAAATCATATCCACCACAAGCTTGGCATCCGATTCGATAATGATGTTATCGAAACCCATTTCCGTAGACATCTGCAAACCATCGAGAATTGCTGAAGCTTCAGCCCAAATATGAGAACCAGGGCCGTATATATGAGAGAAACCATGAATGAAATGACCATCATGGGTTCGAAAGAGACCACCCCCTGAACATGCAGTGCCATGCAAGGAACCATCCACGTTGCCTTTAATATACCGAGCTTCTGGCGGGATCCATTTAACCCATATACCCCGACCAAGAAACGGAGCTTTAAGTGGAAGCCGAAGAGCTTGCATTACTTGCCTACCGATCTGAGATGTTGGCAATTTAACCTTCATAATATCGTTTAAAGTAACTAGAGAAGGAAAGATGTTTCGGATAATTGTAGCCGTGTTCATCGGAATATCTTCAAATACTGCTCGACAACGATTTTTCCAAATTTCCCAACAACCTATCATTAAAATGCCAAGTGCCATTAAACCCTCTTGAGTGTCCCTCCTAAAGTCATGTGTCCAAGCTTTGATCAGGTGTTGCATGGAACCATACATCCATGGTTTAAGCCACAGATCAGCGTAATATTTCCAAACCCCTCTTGCGACGTCTGATTGCGCGAAAAGGTGTGTCAAACTTTCTTGGGAAGGTTTTTCACAGCACCTACATTTGGATGGGTATGGATAACCTCGTTTTTGCAGGGCCAAATCAACGGGTATAGCCCCATATGCAAGCTTCCAAAAGAAAGCCCCGACTTTGAGCGGAATGTGTGGGTGCCAAATCTTTTTTGTAAATTTCACTCGAGGGTTTTTATGACGAACGAGATCCCAGTATTCGCTCACCGTAAAATTTCCTGAAGTCGATTTCGTGAAAATAAGGCGATCCTCCTCCATCTCATTGATCTCTATCAAATCGAAGATATGTTGCTGCTCCTGGGAAAGAAAACTCCTGCATTCTTGCGGTTTACTTTTGGCCTCTTTGAACGTCATGGTTTTGTGTTCATCGAGGGTCACCCCCTGAATCCATTTATCTCGCCAGAAATCGACGCTACCTTTCCCAACAATCCAGCAAGTATGATTCTCCAAAGTCTCGAAGTGTTTATGCACTTCCTTCCAAAGAGGAGTTGAATGAAGAGGAGGGCCATTATGGAAATTCTCACCATATTTGGCCCTGACGAAACGCGCCCAAAGAGTTGTACCCTCCAAAGCTTTCCAAGCTAATTTTCCGGCTAAAATATTTTTCGTAACCATTAACGACCGAAAGCCAAGACCGCCCTCTTCTCTAGGATGGCAAATCTTCTCCCAACTAATCCAATTAATTCCCAGACCCTCCTGTTTTCCCCATAGGAATTTACGAAAAAGCCGTTCCATGCGAATTAGGATTTGTTGGGGAACCACTGCAGAAGACAAAGTGTGATTAGGCAAACTAAAAAGCACCGATTTAAGAAGGGTGATACGACCACCAAAGGATAGTAATTTCGCTTGCCAAGCGTCCAAACGATTTTGAACATGTTGCACTAAATAGTCAAAATGTTGTACCATACATCGGCCTTTGTAAATCGGGACCCCAAGATATTTTAACGGCAGGGATTTATGGGAGCAACCACTCCACTCTCTAAGCTGACTGATTTTGTTCTCCGGAATTTTCTTGGAGGTGTAGAACGCGCTTTTGTCCAAACTAAGGAGCTGACCAGAAGATGATTCGTATTTTTTAAACATACGTCTCAACTGTATAATAGAGGATTTGCAGCCATTGGTGAATAGAAGCATGTCGTCGGCGTAAAAGAGATGCGAAATGTGGAGAGATCCCCGGCGAACTTTATATCTTTTCAGTTGAGCGAGCGCCACTGAACGATTGATATTAAGTGTCAAAATCTCTTGGGCTATAATAAAAAGCAACGGAGATAAAGGGTCCCCTTGCCTAACCCCTCTAGTTGATTTGAAATGACCATATGATGTTCCATTAATTAAAATAGAGTACCATATATTGGAGAAAGATCGATACAAGAGATAGCAATGGAATTAACAGTTAATTCCAACTTACTAATCGTATATGGTAAGTCACTTACCATGGTTGGAAACAAGGGATGGGAAAAGGAACCGAAGAAGCCTCACTTCTCACCATTCGCAATTTGCTCAAACAGTCCTCCCTCTCTCTCTCTCTCTCTCTCTCTCTCTCTCTCTCTCTCTCTCTCTCTCTCTCTCTCTCTCTCTCTCTCTCTCTCTCTCTCTCTCTCTCTCTCTCTCTCTCTCTCTCTCTCTCTCTGAGACATAAATTTAACATACACACATTTTATATAAAAGAATGGCGGCAGAAGTTGTGCTAGGAGCTGCAGTAAAAGTTCTACTTCAAAATTTGATCTCAGTTTCGAGGGAACAAATCAGCCTCGTTGGAGATTACAAGAAAGACTTGGAAAAACTAAAAGGTTCTGTCTCAATCATCCAGAGTTTCTTGAACGATGCGGAGAAGAAGCAAATCACCGAAGAAACTGTCAAACTCTGGTTACAGAAGCTTGAAAGTGTTGCTTACGATGCGGATAATGTCTTGGATGAGCTCCACTATCAACATAAGAAAATCCAGACTCAACACAAAATGAAGAAAAAGGTACGAGGCTTCTTCCCATACCCCATTCGTCATCCAAAAATTGCACGTAAAATCAAGAATATCAACAAAAACTTGGAAGAGATTAATCACGAGGCAAGCAACTATGGCCTTCAAAAGGCAGTGGTAGGTGCATATGCACATGGGTCATTAGGCCTAGAAACTGATTCTTTCAGTAATGATCCGATTTTTCTTGGAAGAAAAAATGATGTGTCTGAAATTGTGGAGAAGATGACTATTGTTCCAAATGATCAAGTACTCTCTATCCTTCCAATTGTCGGGATGGGGGGACTGGGAAAATCAACAGTAGCTAGGGAAGTGTTTGATCATGAAACTATAAAGAGTCATTTTGCGAAACGCTTTTGGGTGCATGTCTCTGAAAATTTCGATGTCGTGATTCTTTTTAAAAAGATTCTTACATCCTTAACAGAAACAAACGTCGAACTTGGAAATAAACAAGCTCTTCTCGAAAAGCTTGAAAATTATTTGGGAACTGAAAGATTTCTACTTGTTCTCGATGATGTTTGGAACGGTAGTCAGGAAAAATGGGATGATTTTCTTAATCCATTGAGAAAAATTAGTCATGGGACAGGAAATGGCATCATTGTTACTACACGACTTGAATATGTTGCTTCGCTGGTGAGAACACTACCTATTCACAAACTAAATAGTTTGTCAGTAGATATGTGTTGGTCTATAATCAAAGAAAAAACTGTTGGACATGGTAATATTCCATTAGAATTTGAGCATGTTGGAGTATCTATTGCAAAACGATGTCAAGGTTTGCCGTTGGCGGCCAAAGTGGTTGGAGGATTATTGCATGGTAAATCGATTGATGAGTGGCAATCGGTTGCAAAAAATTGGCTCTCAAATTTAGAAGATGAAAATTCAATTTCCAAGATTTTAAAATTGAGTTTTGATCATTTGTTGTCACCATCACTCAAAAAGTGTTTTGCATATTGTTCGATATATCCTAAAGGATATGACTTACAAAGGGAACGCTTGGTGGAGATGTGGATGGCAGAGGGATTTCTTGAGGGGAGTGATGATATGGAGGTTTTGGGCAACAAATTCTTTAATCAACTTTTAGAGAGCTCATTGTTGTTACAAGTTGTGAGGAGGAATGGCTATTATTACATGCACGATCTTGTGCATGATCTTGCATCCTCTATTTTAAATTCAAGCAACCAGGTTCGGTACATAAGCCTGGAATCTATTAGTGGTGAATCGCATGTTATCCCAAAAGAACAAGCACATTTTCTTCGTTCATTACGGCTCAATGGTAAAATATGTGATATCATGTTCTCGAAGTTCAAATCGTTGCATGTTTTAATTCTAATGCACAGATGGGTTGAAGAGTTGCCAAGTTCGATGAGAGAGCTAATACATTTAAGATGTCTTGACATTTCGGGCACCATGATTAAATGTTTGCCAAACTCTATTGGTGAACTCTATCATTTGCAGACATTAAGAGCATGTAAGGTTTTGATGAAGCTCCCGGACACAATGAAACACTTGATTAGCTTAAGACATCTCCACATTCCTCCCGGGATAGAAATGCCTCCAAAGATGGGAAGATTAACTTATCTTAGAACGTTACCATACTTTGGAGTGAGCCACAAAGAGGGTTGTGGAATTGGCGAGCTCGAAAGCTTGAATAATCTCCAAGTAGAACTGAAGATTTATAATCTTGAAATGGTGTATGACAAAGAAGAGGCTAAGAGTGCAGATCTATTACGAAAGCCAAACATAATAAAGTTAACTCTTGCGTGGAAATCTGCGGTAATTATTGAGTGGACTCCTAGAAGTAGAGACAATGAGAGTGTGTTGGATGGCCTCGAACCCCACCCAAATTTAAAGAAATTATACATTTTTGGATTCAGAGGAAGACGTCTACCATCATGGTGTTCAAAGATGTCAAGTCTTAATAATTTGATGGAGATAACTCTTGAAGATTGCAAGGACATTGAACAAGTTCCAACGCTAGGGCACTTGCCATATCTCAAGAATCTTTATCTGATTAACCTGAGGAGTGTGAAAACCTTAGGTTCGTCATTCTATGGAATCGACAAATGTAGCATATCCAACAATACAATTACTGTGTTTCCGGCACTTGAAAGGCTCGAGTTGGTAGAAATGTGGAGGCTGGGAGAGTGGTTAGAAGCAGAGTTGATGCCAAATGCAACTGAGAATCAACGACTATGTGATCAAGTGGTACTGGTGGTATTTCCTTGCCTTGAGTACCTGATGGTCAGGGGTAACACACCATTGTGGTGTGTACCAAGTCAAATTCTATGCCTTAAACAATTTGGTGGTGTATACAGTGCATGTGCACAGTGAATTACCTTTGGCGCGTATCTGGGGCATCAAATTATTCTCGCTTATAATACTCGGAATTGATTATATTAATGAATTTGCATGTGTGTTTCCCAGATTGGTTCTTCTGTAACGAATAAAAATCTCTCGGAGCTGTGGATATTTTTCTCCTTCACTGGATGGATGATCTACACATTCTCAGTGCGATTTCCTACTGCCCAAATCTGAAGATTTCCGATGTTAAATAATAAGAAGAGAGCAGATGGAGACGACGATAATGATGTTGTGTTTTATTAGAGTCAGTCTTCAAACAGATTGCTTTGTCTTATGTATTGTATTTTCCAAATGTACTATACACTTAATTCTATGTTTTACTCAAATAAACAACAGACTGCTTTTTTTTTTTTTTTTTTTTTTTCTTTTTTTTTTGTGTGTGTGGTTTTATTTATTGGATGGATCAAATGCAGCAAATGCAACATAATCATCGGATGAAAGAATTCCCTGTCGTCCATCAAACATTAGTAAATCAAATATACTACTACATTCCACACAAAATATTGCATTCAAGATTCAAAACATTCATGTATGCTTATAGACACCGATAAATAAAACAAAACCGAGTATAATATCATTAAGGGTAAATTACACCCACACCCCTGATGTATACTTAAATAACTTTAAGATCCATGTGGTATTGATAATTACACTCACTTCTCTGAAACATAGTTAGAAACTCTAATAATGCATTAGATACGTTATTCCGTTAGGGTTCTAACGGATTACTACTTTTAGCTTGTGGTGGAGACAATATAGAGTTATGGAGTGACATGGCTCCCCCAACATTTCTTAAATCACCCATAGCTCTTTGTTGTCTCCCTTAACTACACTCAACCTCCCTGAAACATATAGTTAGAAACGCTAATGGGATAATGCATCGGATATGTTATTATGATAGAGTTCTAACGGTATATTAGTTTCATAAAACACAAACGTCGCATTATTTAGGCGAGACTAATCAATGATATTTTCTTAATCTTTAATTAAATTTGAAAAACTGAACAACTACAGTGGATAAGACTAACCACGGAGATAGATACCTTGAATCAACTCCTGATTCACGTACTAGTGCAATTCTCCCAGTTCGAGCCACCTGCAAAATATTAAGCCAAAACAACCAAACATTGCAAATTACAAATACCAATACCAATACCAATTTATTTATGTTTTATGAAGACTCCGTAAAAATATGCAACACGGAAAATCAAAGCGAATGTCAAACATGTGTTTGTAATTTAAAAACTATACGCCAAGACGTAGCCCTAATACAACCAAATAAACCTATATTTGATGCATCAAGGAAGAGTCTGTTAATGAGACTTATCTCACAAATGCCATATGGTTCCAACAATCTCTGCAAGGCAACCATCTTGTCCAAGTTGTAAACAAAAAAATTCAAACAATGTCCAGATGTGTGTAAAACATTAAAATACCTCCTCATATTTTAATATGCTACACTTGCATCATTTAACTCAATTTGACCCTAAATTTCATCAATTACTCAATCTTGACCTATAACCCAATTTTGACTACAGTTTCATCCGTCGCCACCATTGACTTTTTTTTTTCTTCTTTTTAATGTCTGCTTTTTTCCGCCGGTTTCCGGCGTTGATTTTACTCATGCCGCCGTTAACCGACGACATTGACTTTTTTTCTTCTTCAACATTTCTTGGCCCGTTTAAACAGTAATATTGATGCGGTTAACAATCATATTAATTATATTATTGGTTAACACAATAATATTTGATGATGCTAAAGATAGATCACCTTAGATAGTTGAAGTAGGATGAGCTGGAAGAGCAGAGTGGATCACTGGCTCACGAGTTTGATGACCTTGAGATACCTGCGATCATAGAACACGTGAACTAGGCCGGGGGTTGATCCGGCAGAAACCCCTCCGACGCTCAAGTCAGACGTGCTGATCATAGAAATAGTCCAGAGAATACAATTAATAGTATTGCTCAGTTAATAGGACGTACCTTAAGGAATGAGTTCAAACGTGTATTTATAGCTTAGTCGAGATTGTCGGGCCCAAACCTTACTTTAAGGTGATTGGGCCTCGGTGATAGTGGTCTTCAATATTGGGCTCGTGGCCCAATAGGTAAATAATTTGTAGGCCCATTGGGTTGGGCCAATCAGGCATATCATTAAGCCCCCCACTCTCGAGTCGATGTGGGGGCCATGTTGAAATGGGTGACATATCGTGTCGAGAGTAAAAAATGTAGTAGTCGATGGTGTGCGAAAACGCATTGGAGCGTGTGTCGGAGGGGTGTGAAGGCGCGTTGGCGCGTAGCGCGACCAAGTTGTCGCGATATAAGTTACTTGAGTCGTCGGTGTTGTCCCACGATGATGTGGTAGCGCAGATCAAGTTATCTACTCGTGGGAGTTGTCTCGTCGTGGGGTAATAGAGTTGATCGAGTTATCTTCCCGTGGGAGTTGTCTCGCGATGATGTGGTAGCACAGAGCTAGTATTCTCCTCGTGGGAGTTGTTATTTATCGACATTGTCAATGTTTTGGCGCGTTGCTTGTATGTGTTTACATATAGCCTTGTGCGTGATGTACTTGAGGAGGGGATCAGGCTCTCAAGATTTGTTTATGGGGATCGTGCCCCTTGTTAGACCTCGTGGGTCGTAAGTATGTTTGGTCCATGGCCACGTTTTAATGAAGGACCCGTCGAAAACAAGTAGATAATTTTTGAGTAATCAAGCTGGCCAGGCTATATAGATTCCCATCATATCTCTAAGTGTTTCTAGGGTTGTAATCGTGCTAACTTGAGCTTGCGATTATATAGTGAATTCCGTGCGAGTTGTCTCCTCATCGTGGGAGTTGTCTCGCAGCGAAGTTGTTGGAGCGTTGGATAACGCGTGACTGAGGAGTGTGCGGATTGAGGTCGCTCAGAGCGAGTTGTCTCCTCATGGGAGTTGTCTCGCAGCAAGTCTTTTTATCGAGCGAGGTGGCTGCACGTGGGAGTTGCCTTGCAATGGACTTGTAGTGCCGAGCGAGTTGGCTCCTCGTGGGAGTTGTCTCGCTGCGGGTTGTGGTACCGAGCGAGTTGGCTCCTCGTCGGAGTTGTCTCGCTGCGGGTTGTAATACCGAGCGAGTTGGCTCCTCGTGAGAGTTGCCTCGCAACGGAGTTGTAGGACCAAGCGAGTTGGCTCATCGTGGAAGTTGTCTCGCTGCGGGTTGTGGTACCGAGCGAGTTGGCTTCTCGAGGGAGTTGTCTCGCTGCAGGTTCGTAGTACCGAGCGAGTTGGCTCCTCGTGGGAGTTGCCTCGTAAGGGGTTATAGGACGGAGCGAGTGGTCTCATCGTGGGAGTTATCTCGTTGTGGTTTCGTAGACCCGAGAGAGTTGGCTCCTCGTGGGAGTTGCCTCGCAAGGGGTTATAGGACGGAGCGAGTGGTTTCCTCGTGAGAGTTATCTCGCTGTGGTTTCGTAGACCCGAGAGAGTTGGCTCCTCGTGGGAGTTGCCTCGCAAGGGGTTATAGGACGGAGCGAGTGGTTTCCTCGTGGGAGTTATCTCGCTGTGGTTTCGTAGACCCGAGGGAGTTGGCTTCTCGTGGGAGTTGCCTCGTAAGGGGTTATAGGACGAATCGAGTGGTCTCCTCGTGGGAGTTGTCTCGCTATGGGTTGTAGTTCCGAGCGAGTTGGCTCCTCGTGGGAGTTGTCTCGCTGCGGGTTCTTAATAACGATGGAGTTGGCTCCTCATGGGAGTTGTCTCGCAACGGGTTTGTAGGACCGAGCGAGCTTGATCCTCGTGGGAGTTGTCTCGTTACGGGTTCGTAGACCTGAGGGAGTTAGCTCCTCGTGGGAGTTGTCTCGCAAGCCCCCCACTCTCGATCCGATGTGGGCGACAAGTTGAAAATGATACCGAATCGTGTCGAGAGTAGTCGGTGTTGTCGTGTTCCGTTAATTGTTGGCGTAGTGTGAAGGAATAATAATTTTTATTTTCTATGTGGAGAGCGAGCACTATTGGGTGGGGCGCGTTGGAATCCTTGCGCCATTTGGTAGAGCGTGTTGAAATTCCCGTGCGATTTGGTGGTACGCAATGCAAGTTGCGGGCGATTAAATGAGTGGAGGGGAGGTGCGCACGAATTAATGTGGTATGGGTAGGCACGCGTGCGATTTGATGATGTATAGAGAGGCGCGCACGCGATGTGATGTTGTATAGGGAGGCGCGCGGATGTGATGGGGGCTGACGCAAAGGAGTGAATGGATGTGATGGGTGTTGCAGCTTGGCACGTGCTCCTGCTGCCTGCTATGCTGCTTTTAATATAAATATATATATCTTTTTTTTTTTTTTTTTTTTTTTTTTTTTGCTGACATGCGCTCGCCCCTGCAGTCGCGCGATTGGCGCGTGTCCACCACCTCGCGCGTGCTTTGCACGCGTTTTTGAATTTTCTCTTTTTATTTTTATTATTTTTTTATTTTTTTTTGGGCGCGCGCGGACGGCTTTGGTGGATTGGAGGGCGCGCGGGCGGCTTAGCCGGCTCGGGGAGGCGCGGGCTTGGCTGATTTTTTTTTTGTTTTTTTTTTTTTTTTTTTTATCTTCTTCTTTTTTCTTCATCTTCTTCTTTCTTCTCCTTTTTATTTTTATTTTTAGGTGGTTGATGTTCACCCCTTGGGGATGTTCTATTTTTTGAGTAGGGAGATTATACTCGTCTCTTGAGATGGGATGTGCACCCACTTGGGGTTGAAAGGTAAGGGTGATGCCCAACCTTGGGAGGGATAGCTCCCCACTTTAGGATGAGGCTCTCGAGACCTATGGTCGGAGGTGGATGCGCACGGTTGTGCCATTACTGCAGTGGCAACACGAGTTGAAGCTTTCGCGGTCGTACGCTGAAGGTCCTTATCGGTTATCTGAACCGTTAGAGGAGCAAGTAGAAGTTGATCTTGTTGAAGTTTCGGCGATCGTACGCTGAAGGTCCTCTTCGGTTTTCTGAACCGTTCGAGTGGGGGGGGGAGGTAGGCCCCAGGGAGTAGATAACCCATGGCGAACGAAATGTTTTGGGGGCACTGTAAACCCCCAGGGAGTCGATAACCCTTGGCGACCGAAATGTTTAGGGGGAACAGTAAACCCCCAGGGAGTCGATAACCCTTGGCGAACGAA